ATAAAAAGGAATAAGAAGAAAAGAAATGATATCTTCTGTCTCCAACTGATGGTAAACACCACCATGAAGTTGAAGTCATGGACAGAGGAGAATGCTAACATGCTGTAATTCAAAATCTCCCAAAGTTGGATGGTGAAAGATAGTGGTATTTCGAGGAGGATTCATCCTGATATTTCTCTCGTGCTCAACTGCATCCAGCAATTCTTGGCTGCAAATACAAGAACAATGGTCACTTCTTCGGAAACAAGACTATACAAGAGATAAATGAGCGAGAGATGTAACATATAAGCAACCTGTTGGGATCTTTTAAGGAGAGGGCCTGCCAACACATGGGGCATTGAGAACTTCTCTGACACCTGAGAAACATAAAGTGTCGTGCTTTTAACTTTCTACTTGTAGTATAGTCTATAATTTCAATTGTTTGATAGAAACAGATGTATATTCGTGACTGCCATTGAAAATGTCCTCTAGGAACACATTAATAGGAGCATATGCATATGAATACAAAAAGAAAGCTGGTAGGCAAATTAAACAAGATCTGCACGTGCTATACCCATCAAAAGCACCACCTTAAAGTTGCATGAATACAGAGAAGGACACAGTCATCATTATCGTCGACAGTTGGTACACTTCTTTCCCCCGTTTTTTGACAGGTTTGAGTGGACACACTTCTCTATAAGGTAAAAGGTTTATTTTCTGGAGTAGCTTTAACTGACTTATGAAGTGGTAAGCTCTTCCTATTTAGAGGTTTCTTATATTTCATATCTTCTATTTTAGCAATTCAGGGCCTGCTTTCCTCCTCCTCTGTACTCTTGATCAATATTAAGAAACTCTTTTCCTCATTATAAGAAAAAACTCTGTTGGAGATTATTATGGATATGATTAGGTGATTTAACAGATTTGGAGATAACAAGGGTTGATTTGAGAGCTAAAACTTCCAATCTGCTTCATTCATAGATATTATTACAGAGCGTGATATTACTTTCTTTGTTGGACTGCAAACTAGTATAATGAGGAGTAAAGGCCTTCGTACCCATATAAGAGCCCATGCATCTATACTAGTGTCTTACCCCAAAAGTTAGCACATACTAGCAACAATACAACTTTCATCTACATCCAAATACTCTAATGTACCGACCTTCACTCACCTTGAAATCACCTCATTGTTTAGGATGGAAACGGTGAGGAAATAGCATGGTTGGAAAACTCTCTCCTTCTTTCTAGGTCTCCTTTTCTAAAGCAAGATGTTATTTTAGGACTGAAACGGTGAGGAAATAACTTGGTTGAAAAACTGTCTCGCCTTCTTTCTAGGTCTCCTTTTCTAAAGCAAGATGTTATGAAACTAAGGAGGGGTGAAATCATGATAAACCATGGAAAAGACTCTGGTATCATATATCCTCTAGAAAAATGTCATTATGCAGCACGTCAACAAAAGCATGTTGTAGTTTTAACTAAATACCGGCGCGATATATGAAACATTCCACCAGATTATCCCTGTGTCGATGAGATGGTTCTAGTAGCTGCAAACTCAACAAAAACTTATGCAAATGCAGTTAAACGGAGATAAATTGGGTGGGTATATAAAGGGGGGTGGGGGTAGTGTGCTGGCAGAAACGAATAAATTTCTGGAAATCATGGAGAGAGTTGTGTAGATGGTGTGGGAGATATACACCTAAGAGTGTGATGTCCCCGGGGGAATTTACAGTTGCTCTCAGAAGGGGGAGGGGTTGAAATGGAGAAGGAGAATAGTCGATGATCTGAAAGGGCGAGAAAATAGCAGATATAGATGAGAATGCCCGACCATTGCCATATTTGAAGGCAGGAGGAAATTGTCCAATTGGGTGGGGGAATTGTTATGTATTTTCTTCTTAGGGAAAGACGACAAGGTAATTGAATTGTTGATTGAAATTGAACAAGAGGCAAAGGGGCTAAGATGGGTTGGCAGAAAGGTGGAGAGCGATAGGAGGGTGGTTACAAAAGGACAGGGGAACAATAATGGTGTATGAGATGAGATCTGGAGGTAAGGGGAGGGTGGGATGAAGGAGGAAGATAGAGTGTCATCATCCAGGCCCAACTATAATATCCACTTTGACTCCACCCCTCTAGGCAGCTGGAAGGCTTTTAGGCCTCATGGTTTGTCCCCTTGAGAAAACAACCCAAAAGACGCCTCAATTATTGAATCCTAAACTCGCCCTTATATGACCCCTAACTTTCCCCTCCCCTTCTAATGTGAATTTTGCTTAAGGCAAGCTTCACAACGAACCTCCTTTGAAGTTCAACAACCGATCCGTGAGCTGTTACACTCCATTAAGGGATTCAACATCCTCGCTGCGGTTTGCTCCACCCCCATAAGGGAGGTACCGACTCTGATACCGCCTATCACAGTCTCAGGCACAACTACCAAGGTATTGTTTGATTTGGCATAAAACCTCTATGCCACCTCAAGGCTTTTGGGCCTCACGATTAGCCTCCTTTGTGCTTTAACCCCAAAAGACGCCTCACTAGTTGAATCCTAAACTTGTCCTCATATGGCCCCTAACTTTCCCATCTCATTCAGAAGCAAGATTCGCCTAAGACAAGCTTCATAGCAAACTCCCTTCCAAGTTCAATCGCCAGCGGTCAGTGGAGTGTTACATAGAGGTAAAGGAAAAATAGTGATCCATGGATGTTAAGATCATATCTTGGAGATGAATATTTCAAACAAAAGGGTCATCATTAAGGTGGGAGTATGAGTATTAAGAAGGGAGTTTTTTCTTCAGCAGCTCTTGTCAAAGATAGAGTGAGTGGGGTGGAGTGGGGATTTGGGGGAGTGTACGAACCGGTAGGAGAAGGGTCCAAGGTGTTTTTCTGGGAGGAACTGGCCAATATGATGGGGAATGGGACATTCCATGGTTCTGGGGGAGACTTTAACACTATTAGATTCCCGTATGAGAGATTAGGGTGTAGTATGATTTCGAGGGCCATGGAGGAGTTTTCTGACTTCATCAATGATCACTTTCTCATTGATCTTCCTCTGTCGGGGGAAAGGTTTACTTGGGCCAGGGCGGAGGATTCCAACTCAAGGTCTAGACTTGATAGATTTCTGATATCGCCCTCCTAGGAGGAGCTGGTGCAGAACGTGCTGAAGATTCCTTTACCTAGACTGACTTCGGATCATTTGCCTATCTTGCTAGATGGATGCAGAGGGAGAGGGGGTGCATGCTCCCTTCCGATTCGAGAACATGTGGTTGAAGGTGCCAGGATTTGGTGACAAGGTGAAAGAATGGTGGACAAGCTACGGGGTATTAGGGACACCTTCATTCCGTCTTTCAAAGAAATTCAAATTGCTCAACGGAGATATTATTAGGTGGAATAAGGAGGTTTTTGGGAGGGTAAAGGTTAAAATAAGGGAGTTTATGCATGAATTGGGGGAGGTTAAGAGGGAAATAGTCGAGTTAGCAATAACTCAGGAGACTAGTTGGCGGCAAAAAATCGAGGGTGTTATGGTTAAAGGAAGGGGATTCGAATACCAAATTTTTCCAAAGGGTGACGGTTGCAAATCGAAGGAGAAACTTCATAGAGTCCTTAGTTGTGGATGGGGTGAGGATTGAGGGAGAGGAGGAGGTAAAAGGGGCGATAGTGGGGTTTTATGAGAACTTATACAAAGAGGAAGTTAGTTGAAGGCTGACTTTGGGGGGAATAGAGTTCAACCACATAGGGGAGGGAGACAGTAAGTGGCTAGAAAGGGTTTTCGAGGAGGAGGAGGTGCAAGAGGCTGTGTCGAGTTGTGCTGGTGATAAGGCCCCCGGCCCTGATGGTTTCTCCTTGGCCTTCTTCCAGTTCTGTTGGGACACCATCAAGGGGGAGTCGATGGAAGCCATTGAATACTTCTATGTGAATGGTGTTTTCGAGAGAAGTATCAATGCTTCTTTTATTACTATTGTGTCTAAGAAAGAAGGTGCATCTTGTATTAGTGACTACAAGCCTATTAGTCTCGTGGGGAGCATTTACAAGATTATTTATAAAGTGCTTTCCAATAGACTCAAGAAGGTTCTTGACGTGTTTGTTTCGTCCTCCCAAAATGTGTTTGTGAAAGGTAGGCAGATCCTGGATGCCGCTTTGGTGGCAAATGAACTTGTAGACTCCAAAAGGAAAAATAGAGATCCCGGCTTACTATGCAAGTTGGACCTTGAGAAGGCTTTCGACCATGTCAATTGGGAGTTCCTGGATTTCATTATGATGCGGATGAGGTTTGGGGCAAGATGGAGGGGATAGATCAAGTTCTGCATTTCCTCGGTCAGATTCTCTATCCTGGTTAATGGTAGCCTGTGTGGTTTTTTTGGCAGCTCCAGGGGTCTCAGGCAAGGAGACCCCCTATCCCCATGCTATTCATTCTAGTGATGGATGCTTTGAGTAAAATGATGGATCATGCAGCGGGCGGAGGCTTCTTGAGAGGATTCTCATCTCCAATGGAGATGCCTAGTGCCCGAAGAGTCTCTCATTTGCTTTTTGCGGATGACACCCTGGTTTTATGTGATGCCGATATGGATCAGTTGACCTACCTGAAGCAGGTCCTGCAATGGTTTCAGATAGTATCAGGTCTCAAAATCAACCTCGGCAAGTGTGAGATTTTCCCGGTGGGTGAAGTTGCTAACATTGATGCTTTGTTTTATGTTATCAGATGTAAGGTGGGCTCCCTTCCCACTACTTACCTGGGTCTCCCATTGGGCACTTCGCATAAGGATACTACGGTTTGGAATCCAGTGATCGAAAGGGTTGAAAAAAGATTAGCAGGCTGGCAGAAACGGTACTTGTTAAAAGGCGGAAAGGAAGTGCTCATTAAAAGCACTTTATCGAGTATGCTCACCTATTACTTGTCCCTATTGCAAGCTCATGTGAGCATCACAGAAAAACTGGAGCGGCTTCAAAGGAATTTTCTTTGGGATGCAATGGATGGAACTAGAAAGTATCATCTAGTGAATTGGCAGACAGTCACTTCCCCAAAGAATGGGGTGGACTTGGTGTAAAAGATCTTAGGGTATTCAACAGAGCTTTGTTGGGGAAATAGCTGTGAAGATTCGGGGTAGAAGAGCATGCTCTATGGAGGGAGGTCATAGTAGAAAAGTACGATTTCACGAGAGAGGGTTGGAGGACCAAGGCAATCACAACACCTTTCGGGTGTGGCATGTGGAGGAGCATCATGAAAAATTGGGAATCCTTCAGTGGCAACATCTCTTATAGGGTGGGAGATGGAAGGAGAATCAGTTTTTGGAATCATAGGTGGTGTGGAGAGGATACTCTGAGGGTCCCCTTCACCCACGTCTTCAGAGTCTCAAACCAGAAGCAATTGATGGTCCAACAGATTCATAAGAAGCATGAAGGGGGAGTAGTATAGGACCTCTCATTTAGAAGGAACATGCAAGATTGGGAAATTGCGGAGCTCCAAGATTTATTGACACTTCTGTATGGGCAAGACAGGCCTCAGCCAAATTGTGATTCTTGGAGATGGGGTTTGCGTGGTGATGGTCTGTTCACCGTAAAGTCCTTTTACCAGAGTATGTTGGTGAGAGAGGAGGCCTCTTTTCCATACTCCTCGATCTGGATTCCTAAGGTGCCCACGAAGGTGTATTTTTTTGCAAGGCTAGCGGCGAGGGGAGTGATTTTGACTGTTGAGAATCTGCGAAAGAGGGGAATTACACTAGTTGGTGCTATATGTGTAAAAGCTCAGGGGAAGAAGTTGATCATCTTTTGTTGCATTGCCTTGTGTCCTCGGCTTTGTGAAGGGCGATCCTGAACCTTTTTGGTGTTCAATGGATGATGCCAAGAACTGTAAAGGAAACGCTATATAGCTAGGCCGGTCTCCGTAGAAGAAGAAAGCAAAAGGCGTGGAAGTTCGCCCCGTTAGCTCTCATGTGGATAGTTTGGGGGGAGAGGAATAGGAGAGCTTTAGTGTGCTTTTGGAGACGAAGTGGAGTCCATGGCGAACACATTGGCAAAAAGTCTGTAGGAAGGAAGGTGGGTTAAGCATGACGCTACCCGACTAATTAGAGTGCGGGAGACATATTACTCTTATTGGACGTGAGGAAGTTAGAGGTCGTGGAAGTAAGGAAAGAAGGGCTAGTTGCCCTGCATCATAAATCAAGTGAGTACGCTAGAGTCGAATTTTGGGAGAAAGTTTGGGTTGGTAAGGCCAAGGGAGGGTTCTAAGGACAGACTTTGAAATGAGTTATCGACCACTTTGGTGGTATGAGAGACACTCTAAGTGTTGGTGACTGGACTTTGATACAATTAGGTTTTCAAAGGAAACGGTAGAATGCAGAATAATGTATGAACAATTAAAATGTTCTCGGAATTCATTAATAACACCATTTATTGGTCTTCGTTTGACAGGGGCTAAGTTTACATGAATAAGGTAAGAGAAGCCAACATACAAGTCAAGGTTTTACAAATACTTGGTGTCGACCACATAAAGGAATGGCCATTTGTTGCAAGTTCCATTGCCAAAGTTGATCGTGGACCACTTATCCATCATGCTGGATGAAAGCAGAAGAAAAGACAAAAAAACCCATATCAGATTTGAGAAACTATGACTAAAAGTGGCAAACATTGAAGATAGAGTGTCGAACTGGTCGAGCTATTATAGTCACAAGAGGACCTCATTTTCACTAGTCAAGAAGCTCAAAATGCTAAAAGGGAACATAAGGGTGTCGAATAGGAGCTTTTTGGGAGGGTAGAAGTGAAGATAAGGAAATCATGAACGACAATTGGGTAGATTGAGAGAGGGAAAGATGTGAGGGTGCTAGAGGGACGAGAAAAAAAAGGAGAGGAGAAGGAGATCAAGGAGGAGGAAAGGAAATATCAATTAAGAGCACATTATTCAGTAGGCCCATATACTACATGCCAATGATGCAAGCACCGACTAATGATTCCGGAAAACTTGAGACTCTAGAGGAATTTTCTATAGAATGCAGTAGATAGGACCAAGAGGCACCATCTAGTCAACCAGGAGATCGTTACTTCCCGAAAAAAGTAAGGACTTGGGGTAAGAGGATCATAGAGTGTTTCTGATAAGGGGGATCTCAGAGTGTTCAACAAGACTCATTGTAAAAATGATTGTGAAGATTTGAAACTGAGGAGAAGACCTAATTGGGGAAGGTGATAGCTTAAAGTATAGAATTGTGGACAGGGGTGAAAGACTAGAACTATCACTTTTGTCATTTGAATGTAGCTTATGGAGGAGAATCATGAAGGAGCAGGAGAATTTCATCAGCAATATTGCATTCAAAATTAGGGGTAACAAAAGAATTAGGCCCCGTTTGGATGGGCTTATTTTAAGTGACTTTAAGCTAAAATAGCTTTTAAGCCATAAGTTAGGAATTCTAGCTTTTTGCTTTTGGCTTGTTTTTGTCATTTTAGCTTAAAAAGAAGTGCTTAAAAGAACTTTTTTACTTTATACAAACAGTCAAACACTACAAAATGACTTAAAAGCTATTTTGTCTTAAAAGCACTTAAAACAAGCCAATCCAAACGGGCTCTTGATCTAATTGGTGGTTTTGGAAATAATGCCTTAACATTCACCTTCCCTAAGATTATTTATCAATCCAGAGAGATACATTACAACAAATACAGGGAACATAAGAAGGGGAAGTTTTCTATATCTTGAAATTAGGAGGAATTTGCAAGATTAGAAGATGACAAAATACCAAAGCCTGTTAGTGATTCTTTACAAGACAGTTTAACTAAAATAGTTAGGACTCATGGATGGAACGAGGAGAGGCGGGGAAGAAAAGATGATTCTTCTTGGTTAAGTCTTACTATCATATGCTGCCCACAAGGGAAGAATTGGTCTTTCCACACTTAGTGGTCGGGTATCTAGATCGCCAATTGGTATTTCTTTGCTTGGGTGGCAGGTTGCAGCAAGGGAAGCAATTTTGGCAACCTAAGGTGTATTCTTATGCCACGAACATGAGAAAGAAGAGGTTTACTTATATTAGCTGGTATGCAACAACATATCCAGTATAATCCCACAAGTGAGGTCTGGGAAAGTAGTGTGTACGCAGACTTTAATCCTACCTCGTGTGAGGTAGAGAGGTTGTTTCTGATAGACCCTGGGCTGAAAGAGAAAAACAAAGCAAGTTTGAAAAAAATCAGTATTGAAAAAGCCACGTTGAAAATACTGCAGTTATATGAGCTGGTATTTCATGTGCAATTGCTCACGTGAAGCTGTTAACCACCTGCTATTACATTACAAGGTAGCCACCCAGTTGCGATGGGTAGAGTTGAATTGGTTTAGAACACAATGGATGATACCTGGCATGGAGTACAACGAACACGAACAATACCGAACAAAGCGAAAAAAGCCTACAGCTGAACCTATGGAGAAGGAAGAGAAGATGCAAGGTATGCGTTTCTATACTAGCTCTAATATGGGTCCTATAGTAGGACATGAATAGGAGCACTTTCACAGTTTATATATAGATTTTTTTACATATGAGCAATAGCTTATGGTTTCTAGTTTTTTTTTTCAAAGTACACTCATGAAGTCCTAATTTGTATTGGAGATTGGGTGTACTCTATGAAAAGTCATATTTTATTATAGGTTCTCTACTTTTTGGTATACTAGCAGGGGGAAATCTCCCATTAATAAATTTACTTACTTCATCAAAAAAGAACATCACAATCCGAGTTTTATAAACTAATGAACCTTTCTTTTGGACTTTAAGCTAAAATTCACCAAGGCATAGTTGACAGCCAAGTCTTTTATTCACTAGTGGTTGGATGAGGATGTTAGGCTCAATAATTGCGGGGTCCATTGGTCCTCTCTAATCTTGGCAAAATTGGGCACGCCTCAACTCATCAAGAGTTACGATAAAGCAGTAACTTAGGGGTGGCCTAGTATTAAGATATGAGTGTAACAACCTGGAGATTCCAGATTCAAATCCCAACTACAACACTAGATATGAGCTCATCTACTCTATGCTTGGTGAGCAGGATTACCTTGACAACATGTGTTTGTGCACTAGACAGGCTGCTTGGTGGATTAGTCGAGGTGCGAGCAACCTGGCCCGGACACCGGCGACATCAACAAATTAAATAAAAATAAAAATTAAAGAATGCAACACTTTGAAAGCTCAATAACATTTTTACTTGCTCCTAGAATACTACATCCTCTTTTCATAAATAACTTGAAGAATTTTATTTCACGCATAACACATTGAGACAATGTTAAATTTATAAAAAGTGGTGGTGTACAGGCCAAAGAAGATTTTGACTATTTATCTAACAAGCCCTCTCTTAACACCAACAATGCAAGTAGATAGAAAAAAGGGTCTTTTAATATGTCCTACAAGTTCCACATGTTTTTGGTATAGTTCCTGATCATAGGACTTCAGCAACCTACTGATACGCTATCCCATTTTGTTCGATGTACATTCAAGTATCAACCAACTCTGAGGAGTGGGCCCCTGTTACTTGCACAAAAAATTTCAAACTCTACTGTTTCAGATTATTATATAGCTACTTTGAAAATATACTAAAATGATACATTTACCCGCTTTTCATTATCTCCAAACTGTTATTAGTACATCTGATATACTCAAACATGGCAACCCATTCAAACTTTGTACTCTTCGTCACTGCGCTATTTAACTGAATTAGGATGTAAAGAGAAACATGTTGCAGTAAAGTCCTAATAAAGAGCTGCAACGTTAGCTTTCCAGCAATTAGATTAGAAAGAAAAAAAACCTAAGGCAGCTACCCGTCTCCAGATCTGATTATCTTCTACAGAATGTGATTCCGCATTCGACTAAAAACAAAGTAGTTCAAACATAAGCATTAATCAAACAGTACAAAATATATCATACCATTCAAGAATACATTGAAGATGAAACTCATGCTTGCAACCAGTCACCTACACATAAAAAGGATTAGATTATTTGGAATGAAGTTCATCTCAGTGCATTCCACAGTGACAGGGGACAGTATGAAACAAAACCTACTGTTGAGGGATCACTTTCACAAAATGCTTCGAGGCATATGCTGCAAGTATCTTCACAAGCATCCTGAATACCGCCCTCCACAAATGCTGCCGCTGAAGTCAAATGATTCTCGGACATCTTGCCCTCCTCCATCTGCCAAAACATAAAACCTCACTGAAACTCCACTTCATCATTGAACAAAGTAATAGAAAGTAAACAGCCACATGACCCACCCCCCTCCCAAACCCCTTTTTTCGATAAATAGTTAAAGAACACTTCTGATCTCTAAATTCATGTTCAAAGCTAATAAAACACATAAAAAGTCCAAACAGCAGAGTATATCACATTACTTAGGCGTGGCAACTGGAAACCATTGTCGTTAGCATAGGAAGGGGGGAAACAACAGAAGAAAAAGCTCAAATATATGATGAATTCATTGTGAGTGAGATACAATAGAATGATCAGTACACTTCCTACAGCAGCTCGGACAATAAGGGGATCCATGCTTAAACTCCAATACTTATATTGAGATACACAAACTACAGTTAAACGCCAATACTTATATTGAGATACACAAACTACGGCATAAACGCCAATACTTCTATTGAGATACACAAACTACAGTATAAACATTCCAAACCCTCCACACTACACAACAATCCAAATCAGTATTAACAACATCTGAAAGAAACCAGATGTAAAAATCAAATCTTTTTCACAAAATGTTATCCTTTTTACCAAAAACCAGTGTAGAAGTACACAAACTACAGTATAAAGATTCCAAATCCTCCATATTCCACAACAATCTAAAATCAATATTAACAAAATCTGAAGAGAAAAGAAGACAAAAAAAATCAAATCTTCTTCACAAAAACTTACTCCTTTTACCAAGAACCAGTGTACACCTAAACAAGTACAACCCCACATCAGATATCAACACTATAACACTCATGAAGCTTTAAAATAAAGAGGAAAAAGGCCAAGAGAGCAAATACCCAGTTCCCAAATTAGCAATATAAGCTCTATTTCAAACACCCAATTGCCCAAATCGATCAAAGTCACATACTTTACCTCAAAAACTTCAACTAATTGGGCAGATCAAAGCTGCAAAGAAGGAAGATTTGATTAGAACAACTTTGTGGAATTTGAGAGGTGATGAAAAGAGTGAAATTTCGACGAGAATAGAATGAAAGGAGAGGATAGAAGTTTGAAGAGGGCAACGAAGAATTTGGACTTGCCTTTTGTTGGTTTCTTCTTTGTTTTTCTTAAGTTTTTTTCTTTTTTTTCTTCTATACCTTTTTGGCGGTGAGGAGATGACTGAGCCCACCCTAAAACAGCTTTGCAGAGAGGAAATAACACTTGCTCGGTCTTCCATGCCATTCACTTTCTACACGTGCCATTAATTTTTGATTCTTTTCTCTTTTTAATCATTGGATAACTCTTTGAAGTGATTTTCGCAAAAAAAAAAAAAAAAAAAAAAAATTTTTT